TTAATTAATGTACATATATGTATTGCTTTAATAAATGGTAATAGGAATAGTCTTGGAAAAGACATTATTGTTAGATCATTTTTGATACTTCTCATTTATAGACTATGTTGAATAGGTTACTAGTGTTGTGGTACATGGAAGGGACTGTGTCATTTAAGGGCACATAACCGCCATGACTCGCATTGATAATTTATTTATCATGGTATTTATGATGACCAACTTAATGAGTCAATCTGATTTATGGTGCACGCTAATGACTATTTTATTAAACCACTACAGAAGTTATCATATGGGTCAAGTAGGAGACTGTAAGATATTTTCTTATATTTGTGGCCCACATGATTTGAACACGTGATTTTCTTCTATTATTTAGTGGTTAAATAAAATAGATATTAGATTAATATTATATTATTTGGTCAACTTATAAATTACTTTTTTCGTAATTAATTATTGGAGAATTGTTTTCCTATTTATTTCTTACTTTGATGGAAAATGGAATTAAAGTTACTAAAAGGCAAATTGGTCATCTCTCTGCCTTTATAAAAGTGCATATTCCCATCAGTTATGTACGCTAATGAAAACAACACATATAATGTTTATGTATACAAAAAGGTCAAAAGAGAAATCAGTTTCCACACTTTGACTTGCAGTTTATCACATTGTTCATTTCGTGGAAAGATTCTCGACGTTTACCTTGATATCTATGATATTTGCAATTGTAGATTGATGTATTTATATCTAACTATTTATTTATTCATTATAGGTATGTGAGAATAATGAAGTTCTAAGATTTGGGATTCATATTTATTTGTGATTAATGATTTGCACGAATAATTAAAGTTTACAATTTATACATAAACAAATAATTGTAAATATGTGTCCATGTATACGTGTTGTGTCATGTGTGTGTGAGTAGTTTTGGGTCCTGTTAATTTTTTTCAATACTCAGTTTAAGTATCTACTGGCAGTTAGAAAGGCTTGCACACGAATCTTTTCTTGGAAGATCTATTACCATATAATACAATAAGGAGACACATATACCACACATACACATGGCATCACCTGTTATATTACAATTATTACTATTATTTTTATTTATTTATTTTCTTTTTTTGGTAAGTAATTATTTATATATTTTTTCCTTGTCTTTTTATTTTTTCTTCCAATTGGATATCATTAGCATGCTTACTAAACTTTAATTGATTCCACACATGAATATATATAATATATGAGTGCAAATAAATCTACGTGCCATGTTTTTTTTTTTTTCCTAGCAAATACAAGAAAACTACATATAACTTATATCCAAAAGTACAAGCACCCTGAGCAAACACTCCACATTATTGGAAGCCCAGATGGTTTTATCGTATGGATGAAGATATTAATTGGATCCATATTAAAATAAGGCATAATACCAGCCATTGGGCTCAGGCAAATAGGTGCAATAACAAAGTGGCCCGATAGAGACATATAGCCCAAGTAAGGAACATGATAATTCACAAGGATTTGACCTAAGGTCCATCTAAGCAATCCCATGTGAGATGGGGCCCTATCACAAAAACCAGAAGCTTTTCTTGGTCCCACCTCTGCACACCCAGCTTTATCCATACGCCAAAGGAACAATGTCAACATGACGTCATCTGAAGCCACTATTATTGGGAAACGCCACAACGGGGGGACACCATGAGGTCGATACTCTATCCCCGACGACCAAAACGGTAACAGATGGTAATTGTCCACAAAGGGACTTGACGATTAATGTCATGGCCATAAGAAAGCTATTGGTGAACATGTGATTCCTTGAAGGAGTGATTCATATTGCTACCAATAGCAAAAGTATCATGGTTATGAAATAACGTAACAGAGGCCATTAAACTCCAGATTCGATAAAGCATAAACATCGCCCTCGCAAGATTCATGAACTTCGTTGTCCAGATGTGCCCAAAAAAGCTGTGATAATTAGATGGGAAACGCCGACGATACCAAGACAGAATAGGCGAATACAGCCTCTGCGATTCTTTAGCCACATAATCAACTACCTCCCTAGAAAAACATCGCTGAGTATGGCGATGATCAAAAAGCCCAGTCACCAAAAATATGTCTTCCCACCCATGGAAATAGGAAAAAAAAAAAAAAAAAAAAAAAAAAAAAAAAAAAAAAAAAAAAAAAGGCAAGCATACTACCCTTAAAACAACAAAAACCAAAAAAAAATTACAGTGGACAAGAAAACAAAAGAAAGAGGCATAATAACCGGATCAAAAGGGAAGAGCAACAAATATTTGGTCTGAATCTATCAATTGCGCGGAATCCCCGATTTTAAGCCCTATAGCTCCCTTGTGCCCTTCCGGCCGGACAAACTAGAGTAGTGATGGAGAGTAAAATAGAAAGAATTCATCCCATAGATAACACCACCACCTGGGATTAGTGCTAGACTTTATGGACAGAGAACCTTAACATAGTAAGGAACAATGACTCTGATGAACAGAGAAGAAATGAGAGAAAAGAAAAGAATCCAGTCGTAGGTCTATCTATCTATCATCATTAGTATCACCAACATGTTTGTGTTAATTAAGGAACAGTGACTCTAATGAACAGAGAAGAATCTACGTGCCATGTTATATAACTACAAATGCATTTAAGAATTTTAGTACACGAAGGTGAGTGCTTCGAAAATACAATATTCTATTTTATTTTTTTAAACTCAGCTAGCTATACAAATTTAAACTCAAAATTTTTATTAAACTCATAATGACAAATAAAGAACTAAATAAAAAATCAAGAACTTATATTAGGTTTCCAAAAAGTATAATTATTTCTATCAAATAAAGGACTACATTGAATAGATCCACATTTCTTAAGAGTGTTATGCATTATAATTTTGAAAACAAAAACAAATTTTTTATTTTAAAAATATTACACAAGGAACAACTCAATATTTAGAGAAACTGCTTTGTACCAATTGTGAGTTGTACAATGCGGAATGGTTGTGGAATATGATATGGATAAGCAATCTACAGTGGGTTAATGGATTCAACTTTATCTTTTATCCTATTTTACTCAAATTAATTTATCAAAATATATATAGTCAATTAAGTAACCCATGAAGCAAAACTTAAAGTGCAAGTAATATATACGGTAGTGTTAGAGTGACATCGGGTTTTTAGCGTGGAAACCTAGTTGAAGAAAACCACCAAAGGTCGAAAAAACCTTGAAAATTGTCATACGGTCTCCAGCGAAAAGATTCACTGTAAATGAAGAGAAGTACAATGGTCTTCGACTAAATCTCACACCCTTTAACTCTTCCAAGAACCAATCACTAAAAGTCTTCGGCTTTGTGACCTTCTTGTCCAAGAGCACTTGACTTCAGGCTTATTCACTTGGTTCATATAAAAGTTGGTAGATTAACAAATTGTGAGTTGCGCTATGCGAAATGGTTGTGTAATATAATATGGATAAGCAACCTAGAAGGGGGTGAATAGGTTCAACTTGCTTTTTTATCTAATTTTTTCTTAAATTAAATTTACTGAAATAAAAGTAAATTAAATAACTCACAAAACAAAAATTAAGTTCAAGTAAAGTAGAGTAGAGTTTGAGAGGCACCGAGATTTTTAGCAAGCAAAACCAGTCAGAAAAACCACGAGGACTTTCACGTTGTCCCAAGAAAAATGATTTATTATGTTTGAAGCAAAGTCATTAACTCTAACTCAGGCTCACACCCTCTCATTCTACCAAAAACCAACCACTGAAAAAAATCTCTCAGGCTTCGTTTGGATACGGAGGAGAGAAAAGAAAAGAAAGGATTAGAAGAGAAAAGAAAAGAAAGGAAAAAAAAGGAAAGGATAGCTATAATGTTTGGATAAATAGGAGAAAAAAGAAAGGAAAACATAATATGCTTGTTTGGATAAAACAGAGGAGAGAAAAGAAAGGAAAGGATAATAATGAAATTACTATATTACCCTTTTATATATTTTGATAAATAATCATTCATAACTTGATAGCTAACTTGATAGCATACTGATTTTTTTTTTCTCTCCCTCAGTTTCATTGGAAACTAAAATTAATAATAACTAAAAAAAACAAGATAACTTGATAGCATACTAGTGTTGTTGTTTTTTTTTTTTTTTTAATAAGTAACTTGATAATATACATATAACTTGATAGCATACTTCGAAGATAGATAGATATGGGTGTAAGATTTTTATACCACATTTTCTCATCTCTTCATAAACTTTAGGGTTTTTTTTTTTTTTTTTTGGATAATTAAAATAATACTAAATAATTAATACCAACTAAAAGTTAGTACATTCTTTATTAATAGACAATTTTACTATAAATCAATGTCTACACGTAAGATATGCAATACATTGTTCAATTATATATCACATGCTTCTTAACTTGGATAAAAGAGTGCTACATATATATGGTTCTTCTATACCTGTAACACCACAAATATGTAGCCACACCCCCAATTCCCTGTGTTTAGATTAATATTTGCTTGTCCCTTACATAGGTAAACAAATTTTTTTAAAACAAGAAGTAATATATATAAGTAAAAAATCACTTCTCAAACACTTCTCAATTGAAGACAGAATAGGCTCAATTCACAAAAAGTAAAATTATAACAAAACGACATAACAAATCACTTCTCAATTGAACACAATATAGCCTCAATTCACATCCAAGCTACATTCACACGCCTAGTATAACATAGTACACAGACTTTAATCCATTATAGTTTTTTGTTTCTACATTCACACGCCTACTCAGGAATTCATCAAGACCTTAAAAAAAAACATATGCCATCTTCAACACACCATACGAAGTTTTATAGAGTTTATGTACCAAAAGCTCCATAACAAAAAAATAAAATAAAATAAAATAGATACAAAAAAATACATAATTAAACTTAGACATAATACCAAGTTCTACTAATTGTTCCAAAATATTACCAACTTAAAAGACATTGTCAAAAGTTAGTATAACCGAAACCATTTTCAACGTCAAGAATCATTGGACATTAGTTCCTCCAGGAGTATCTTGCGAAGCACAGGTGGGCAACCAATAAATTGTGTCATTCTCTCAGGATGGTCACGCTTAGTCAGAAAAATAAAGGCCTTAACAGCTGCATGCCCCTCTAATCCAATTTCCGCCAAAATCTTAAAGAGTTCTTCTTCATATTTTCCCTTTTGGTTGCACTTCTCATAAATATGGTTGAATGTTTTGTGAATATCATTTCCCTCTTTTAGAGAAGCAGCCACACCTCTCACTATTTCAATTATTTCATTATCTCCATCAACAGTCGAATAATTCCTTTTTCTCTTTCCTTTTGAAGAAGTGGAATGGGAAGGTGCACTTGAAGGTGTTTTAGGAGACATCATATTCATATTCTCAAACTCATGATCCATAAAAAATGTATTATCCAAACTTACTTCATTCCGGGACACCATGTGATCAATAGCATCAATGCTCTCCATTAGATCATCATTAGGACTTGACTCCCTTTCATTACTCTTCTCTTTTCCTTTTGTTGCCCAATCATTAATCCTCTCCTTAGCAGTGGCTGCATTAGACCCAGTTGCCCTATCCTTGCCAAATAAATCCAACAACTTATCATAGTTGCAAATTGGAGTAGTTTTCCATTTCTCCGCTGCTGGATTTGACTGTTGGCGAAACATAAAAAAAACTACATTATCATTATTTCAAGCTAAAACAAAGGCAGAATAAAATGTAACTATTAAAAGAAAAAATAAATAAATAAATAAATAAATAATCTCAATTAAATAACTAACCTCAATTAAAGAAGCCCGAACTTCAGGTTCAGCATACCACATTTTTGTGGCTTCACTCCAAGCAAACCCACTCAAACCAGTTTTGAATAAGTCAAAACACTCGTTAAATGTTTTCTTTATTGTTTTCAATCGATTCTTCACTTTATCTTTGTTGATATCGATACCTAATCTTTCTTTCAATTCATTAACAATCTCACTGTAAGCTTTTGTTGTAAATGTACCATCAATCATATTCCCCTTCACAAATTGATTGTGCAATGCATCTACAAAAATATCATCCATCTGTGCAGTCCAAACACATCTATCTCTCTTCAACCCACCACTTATGTTTAATTGATTACTCATTCTTATATCTACATAAAAACAAATACAATAGAAAGAAATGAAGGAAAAAATAAATCATTTAACTAAAGGTAAACAAAAACTGTATGCAAGGTAGGAGTTTATAACAAGCTATAATTAGCATTCTACATCTCCAAATGAAGCACTCTGACATAAAATAAGTTACAGAAAAATTAAACATAAGCAAATAAGTTTTAAGTTATTACAACCAAATAAAACATTTCAAGTATCACACATAATTAGCTACATAGTCATGCCACATGTGGGAAGTTATTGAATCTCTCAAGTGTTCTCCCAAACTATGATTTTCACTTCTTTCCATTGGACCATGCTCTTCATGTGGAGTTTCATTTAAGTGCTCCCGATCTACTTCATTAAAAAGGCTTTCATCCGGATCCATACCCATTAAATAGTTGTGTATGATGCAACAAGCTAAAATGATATCAACTTGAGTTTTAACATCATATGTTGGTTCAGTACTGCTTCCTATGATAGGAAATCGTTTCTTCAACACACCAAAAATTCTCTCAATAACATTGCGCAATGATGCATGTCGAAGGTTGAATAACTCTCTAGGATTCTCTGGTCGGCGTGAGGCATATTCTTTTAAATGATAGCGCACACCTCTATAAGGCGTGATAAGTCCAGCCTTTAATGGGTACCTGGCGTCAGCAAGATAAAATTTTCCTATTAAGAATAATAGTAATTAATATTTGCTTCGTATTAAAAAAAAATATCTTAAAGATTTTAGTTAATGATTACAAAAATTACCTTCCGGAAGTATTAATTTATCTCCTTGTCTTTTTAAGACACTAACCATAACTCTTGAGTCTGAAGCGGTACCCTCCCATCCAGGTAAAACATAGGTAAATTTCATGTCAAATGAACAAGCTGCTAACACATTTACTGTTGGATAATTTTTCCTACCACGATACCTGGGTGCATCTTCGTTAGATACTTTCACACGAACGTGTGTTCCATCAATTGCCCCAATGCAATTCTGAGATAAAATCATTATAATAAAAAATTTATGTAATAGTTTATAAAATCATTAAAATTGAAGTATTAAGTTAAGTACTAATCATGTTCACCTTGAAATATGGATGAAACCTATCGTTATTGAGTATTTTTGGGGGGACGTCCAATCCACTAGGTTGCTTGAGGAACTGTCCTTCCAATGAGATTACTACTTTTAACACACTATGAAAATGACGGCTTATGGTTTCACCAGAGCGACAAAAGAAAAATGACATTGTCCGATTCCTCACATTATGTGATATAATGTGCAGAAATTTAGCAACTTGCTCTTCAACACTTGCACGTTTTGTGGGTCGAAGACCACCATCTCTTATAAGCATCTCACAGAAATTTTGAAAAGCTTCTGGTCCTATACGAGTAATGTTACGACATTTCTCACTTACCCTAAGCTCATTCATTAGTTTATCCCGTGTTATTTGTCTTTCAATCTCTGATTGTGTAATAGGTTTATCTACATAGTTTCTACGTTTTTTACGCTTAAACCAATACATGGCAAGGAGAATGACTAGAGTTGCAATTTGGCGTCGTCTTTGTACCCACATAAGATGGAAACGCAGTATGTCATTTTGTTGTTTGTCCATCTAAAATTGTAAAATGCAAAATGATATATTAATAACCAGAAAAAAATGTAGTACTGTTACTTTTTGTATGAAAATAATGCATCAAATTAATGCACAACAACGTCTACACACAATCACTTCATCATCATATGTTACACAAAAAGAATGATCAACAAGAATCACATCATCATCATCATCATTATGGCATGCAGTTGACAGTTGAGCTGATTCCTAACTGACATCAGAGAATGAGAAGAATTGCATTCATCAAGACCAGAAGATACCATTTGAATGAGATTTGTTTGCTGCCTAAAATATGCATTCCTCTATGTATGCTGCTTAGTTATTGTACTTCTATTTTTAAAAGAAATCACTGTCAGTATGTGGTATCTCTAGCTCCTTGCATAGGACTTACAAGCTTGAACATCACACATTCACAGCTTTGTGACATTCACATGAAATATTTTCTCTAACTTACAGGTTGAAAAATCAACTTTCAATTCTATTATAATTCACATCAGAACAATTCAAGTAAAACGGGAAAAAAAATAAATATATAAAAAAAAAATTAAGTCTCATCATGAAACATTACTGTAAACAAGGAACAAACATGAGTATTTGCATATAAACCACAAATCAATATCGAATACGATGCTATTAGAAATCACATATTTGCAATTTAACAAGGAAAGACCTCTCCATACTTGATTGATGGCCCTCAACTTGACTTGTTTCCCAATTAGCATAATACATATTTTGTATATCCTTTTACATGCTACATTTGTTATCCTTAAACTTCCTAACGGATAGATGCTCATGTAGGAAAGAAGTATCTGACTCTGAGTGGTTGATCACAATATACATGGAACACAACAACACATCTTAGTGCTTATTTGGCTTCCAAATGCAAAAAATGCAGACACTGAGTGCCTCAGAACTCAGAACTCTTGTAGAAGAACCTTATATATCCACTACGACACAATATGGGGTAGCAGATTTGTTAATTCTATTACAAGAGTGCCTCAGAACTCTTGCCTGTAACTTGAGATAGGCCAAACATTGAGCACCAATTAAGCAAGGGAATTTTGTAAGCAGAATTAACTAAATGAAGAATCTCCAGTCTGCCAGATTTGCAAAATCAGTGAGAAATAGATTCTTGACAGATGCTATAGTAAAAGACATTTTGCTGTAAACTAAACCCTTGTCTGGCATCAACATGTATAGTTCCAAATTCTTTCAGATTTTGCAACGTTGACAACATTGAGCTGGGGGAAAAAAGAGAGGCATTTGGAGATAAATGTACCCGTAGTTAATGGAGTTGGTATCACATATCTGATGTGATACAACTAAAAATTACTAAATCAATAAATATCAACAAAGTATGGGATGCATCAAAACTTAAATTCTGTGCAGCGAGTTAGCGTATGTATATGTTTCTACTGTGTACCTTTGCATCCCCTATTGGAGCATAACATGAAAATATGGGGAAACAATTAAATAAATGGATTCAGTAACTGTTCAAATTTTGAATTGAGATGAGAATCATGACGACAAAGTATCAAGATACTACAAAAAGATGGAGAAGCGGGAAAAAACCAACAAATCAATTATAAAATCTGTAACAGGTAGTACCCCATACTTAAACATCTAGCCTTAAAGAAGTTCAATCTCTATAATAAGTGTCACTATGAGTTAATGTAATACCTGAGGAGAAACTAACACCACTTGAAGAAGCTTGTTCTGTGGGCTTTCACAGATTGTGTCACCAATGCCGTTAGGCAGAGAACTGTCCTGGCCTATTTCAGCTGCAGAACAAAAACAATTCTATTACATTACAACAATGAAATTCACTGGTTGAATAAAAAAGCAGAGCCAAATACACTGAATTGGAAGCATCAAAATCACTTGATATGTTTGCATAGCATATATATATATACATATAGATATATGTCCCTGTTTCAGCAGTCATCATTTCTGTTAATGACTCCTCTTTTGCTAAACCAAAATCCACAAGTTTTACTGTTTTCTGGTCTGCAGTCAAGATTAAGTTTTCTGCAGTAGTTTATAAGTTCTTCATTAGCAATTGTTTCCATTTACTTATTTATTTAGATAAACATATGTATGTTTAAAGATTGTAAAAGGAATATTCAACGGCACATCCCACACTCACTTTTTGGTAATTGAGACGACTACCTACACCTCATGGTAACAACATCAACAAATTTGTTCATAGATCAAGTTAGAACTTGCAATCCCTTAGACTCAACCTAGAAAGAAAATAGTTCCAGTAGATATATGACCATATTAATTTTGTTCATCAGATCGATATGCTCCCAAGTACCTATGCTCCCAAGTACCTGTAATAGTGTTCAATTTGCCAGAACCATGAGATGTGCTTAAATCTGTCCTTCCTATAATATCGGAATTTTTAGAACGAAGTCATTACCACAAAACGAAATGCACACATAAGTCTCTGAAACTTTCACCTTTTACATGCCAAGAATCGGTGCATAACTACTAAGCATTGGATACAAAGAAAGCACTATAAATAGAAATAAATCACCAAATCTATGAATATACATTTGTTACTTTATTTCATACTTTGGTCATACTCTAATCTCTCTAGAGCCTTTATATAAATGATTCATAAACATGACTCAAGTCAGTAGAGACCTACAAAAATGCATCTATGAACTTTTAACAGGGAGCAAAAGCAATGATTGGAAGTGATTTCAATGAAGTACTTCAGAAACTCTCCAATGATCCGGAAGTGTGAACTGATGGATCTTCCAGTTTCAAAATATTGAAATTGAATCCAAAGGCCTTTTCTAGCATTTGACTCTTTTTCCTCGTACTATTTTATAAATTGGGTATTATATCAATTATTCAGTAACTACATAGATTCCATCATGCAAAGCTACAAACTAGCGTGTTTGAATTCTTTAAAAAAAAATAAAAATTCATAGCTGATATCTTTCAACATGAATGTTCATACAAGTTTGCTTGCTTGAGAATAAGACATTTCCATGAATCCGATTTCTCATGCATAACATTTTTATACCGCATGAATTCAATGTACCAACATTGGAAATGAAGGAATTACCAGGCTTCAGATCACAATGTATGATCCCATGAGAGTGCAGGTGAGTTTTTGTTGGAGACGCAAGAGAAGAGGTTAATACCTTGATGAGAGAAAGCAGGTGAGTTTTTGTTGGAGAAGCAAGAGAAGAGGAGCGGCGCTTTGCAGATGCGAGAGAAGAGGATTGAGAAGCTGCTGCCCTAAATTGTATATAGAAATTGGAAGGCTAATTCTGTCTTTGTCATCCTTTCCCCTCAAATCCTCTTAAATCTTCTCAACTTTGAGAGGATTTGTTTTTATTGTGCTGAAGGGATTTTGAGGGATAGCCTATCCCTCCAAATCCTTCCAAATCATTTCTTTTCTTCTCAATTCCCTCCACCCAAACACACTAAACTCTATCCTTCCCTTTCTTTTCTCTCCAAATCTCTCCAATTCCCTCAATCCAAACAAAGCCTTAAAGTTGGCTCTCAAATAAATCAGAATTTTCTATACAAAAGCTGTAAAACCCTAAGTGAGATAATATATGTTTATAAACTTATGAAAACATAATTGTACTTGGAAAACAAGTCAATTTCGTGTGTAATCATTATGACAAAAGTCTGCCAAAAAGAGAAAGCCAAAATAGACTAGAATTGAAAATTCCATTTTTAGTTTATAGAGTGCAACTGGTTCTATGGGACAAAACCAGTTCCACTTGGCAAGTATGTATAAAAACTTCTATTGTGCAACCAGTTCCATTTGGCCAGTATGTTTTCGTATTAAAACAATTAAAAATTAAGCTTTAACTGCGCAACCACTTCCATGGGCAGAACCAGTTTCGTTAAAGCAATTTGGAAAAATAGTCATTTTAAGGAAAATATGGAGGATGAGTTGATTATAAGTGGTAAAATGGGTCCTTCTAACGTCACATTAACCAAATAAGTCCATTCCATAAGTTTCCAATGGCCATAGGTATAATTTCCCACATTTACCCATTCTCGTTTTCAAGGATTCTCCGACACCTCTTTAGTAAAACAACTAGAACTATCAATATGTGTAATTTATGGATGGAGTTGATATAATTGGAAATTTGACTTCAAGACGTTCAATTTAGACTCAAGAACAACCCTATTTGGGTTTAAAATGAGGGAGTTATGGCTATTCGAAATTTAGGTGAACAACTAGTGAACAAGTAAGAGTGCTCGATCGATCGAGCCTAACTCGATTAATCGAGTCCTAACTCGATCGATTGAGCCCGAGCTTGAACGGTGGGGCCCAGAGCATGAAAATTGTGATTTTATTAATTTTTTCTAACTATGGAAGGCTCGATCGATCGAGTATGGACTTGATTGATCGAGCTGAACCCAGAAAATGGCCATTGACCTCTAAGGAAGCTTTAGTTGGTTCCTATACTGAAATTATGACAATGGATACCTCTAAATAACTTAAAATCTATCCCAAAGTAGCCATAAAAATATAGATACGCATCCAAAACAACTTCCATACATTATAATAGTTCAAAATACATCATCAAAAGGCTACAAAATCCATGGATAGATTAAAAATCACAATGAGACCACAAAAGATTACATGATGGTCTCAATACCATTTCTATCAACAAAATGAACATAAGTAGCCATCAAATACAAGCTTAGAGCAAAATTATACATGTTTGATTACAAGTTCCATTTACATAAAAAAGTACTTGGCTCAAAATAACTAGCTTCTAGCCAATAAAAGTAGTCCTCATTGCCATCATGGATGAGATTGTGGATCGTTCATTATTTCTTTCCCGATTCCTAAAAAATATAGAGGGGTGAACACAAGGACCAGTAGAGATTGCCTAAGTGACATCTCATCAAGCGAAATAGAGGGGTGAACACAAGGACCAGTAGAGATTGCCTAAGTGACATCTCATCAAGCGAAGTAAGCAATAATATGTTTTATACACAAATAATAGAGAAATAAACATGTGATCATGCTAGGGGTTTCATGCACACCAAATAGATGCCAAGTAGTCATAACCATCATTCTTAGCAA